GGACGCTTAACCGACTGCGCCACCCAGGCGCCCCTTTTGTGGCTTTTTAAAGTCAGATTTATTGAAGTATCATTTACGTATCTAGCTCATCATTTTTAGCGCGCAGCCTTAGGAGTTTTGACAAATGCACACAGTTATGTAACCACTACCACTGTAAGGGCTGATGAGGAATGAGGTTTCGTATGTGGTACAGTATTGACTCAGAGTAGTTTTTTCCCATTTAAAATCAAAATGACTTTCAGCCAACCTTTCTTGAAGAAAAAAAAAAAGCTTAAGAATCTTAACTTTCCTGACACTACTTTCTCTTTTCAAAAATTTAAAACCTCACAGGCAAACAATAAATTTCTTTTGAATAACTGGCTTAAGTGAAAATGAGATTTAATTGTTCTAAAGGTAGGCTTGGTAGATTTCATCTAAGTAAAGGTTATAAATTGACAACCTGTTATTTATGTCTAGCAAATGTATTGACAATGTTGAATAGTAAAGCTACTAAAATCATAAGCCAAAACAATATGAATTCAAAAATAGCCCAAGGCACCATTTTCAAGATTTTAAATAACATTTTCCTATTAAGTGAGAAGCTCAAATATAGGCTTAGCTCTTTCAAAATTATTATGTTGAATGTGTTGATTTATCTCTTATGTAGGCTTAAATATATGTACGCCTTTATTTTTGAAACTAAAAGAATGAAATTTACCTCTTTAATGTGGGAACAATTTTAATATTCACTTGGGAAAAACATAGGCTTTCATAAAAGGAGACTCTACCATTGGCTTTAAAGTTGGATAAGCAGTCCCCTTTTGACTGTCAGAAAAGCCATAATCAGAGTAAAAAAGACAAATAAGGACCCAACAACCTTAATAGATAAGAAACCTTTACCTTGTGACAACAAAGGCCACAAGCATATTAGAAAATTGCGCAAAGGCCATGGACAGTTGATACACACATACAGACACACAAATACGTACAAAGAGCCCTTAAACATGGGAAAAGATATGTAACTTATAACAAGAGACATACAAATTAAAACTGCTGTTGCGGAGGCTGTGGGGCTGGTGCGAATACAAAAAGGTACAGCCCCTTTGGAGGGGAATTCATCGATGACAACACAAGTAGACTTTTATTCTTAGGTCCAGCAATCCTGCTTCTAATAATTTATTCTGAAGTTATACCTCCAATAAAATGAAAGCAAAGAACAAAAAAAAAAGGCTGGCATATACATCAGGTTATTTATTGTGCTATTACTTGTAATAGTAAAATATTAGGAACAACCTAAATACCACACGTAGATTGGTGGAGTAAACTCTGATACATAGAGCACTATAGATAATAAGTAGGAAAATCTCCATGAACTAATGAGTGATTTTTGAGAATATATTGTGAAATAAACAAAGTACACCAAGGTGATACATCTTAATGGATTGAGGAAAAATCTCCATCTTCTCAGTCGGTGCAGAAAATGTTTAAATTAAATTCTAAATCTATTCTTGAGTTTAAAAAATTCTGGCAGACTGAGAACAAAACACTTCTGTAGGGACACTTAGAGCCAAAATCATACTTAGTGGTAAAAATTGAAGCTTTCCTTTTCAGATCGAGAACAAGGCCGGGAGTAAGAGTGCCGGCTATTACGTCTTTTTATTAACGTTGTTCTGGAAGTTCTAGCCAGTGTACTAGGAGAAGAAAAAGAAATAAAAGATAAACATTAGGGGCAGAAAATCCCTTTTCTTTATTTGTAGATGTGATGAAAAGAATGTAAAAGAATCAATAGATGAGTAATTAGGATTAATAAGAAAGTTTAGCATGCATGGTTCCTTGGTTAGAAAAAAACAGTCTGTACTTAAGAATTGATTCTATCTATAAACAAGCAACAATTGCTTAGAAAATGAAATAACTTTTGTTAGAGTATCATAGAATGTTAAATACCTAGTAATAAATCCAACAAAAGAAGTATAAGACCTTTTGGCACAAGAACAGACACTCAGATCGATGGAACAGAATAGAGGACCCAGAAATGGACCCACAAACATATGGCCAACTAATCTTTGACAAGGCAGGAAAGAATATCCAATGGAATAAAGACGGTCTCTTCAAGTGGTGCTGGGAAAACTGGACAGCGGCATGCAGAAGAATGAACCTGGACCACTGTCTTACACCAGTCACAAAAAGAAACTCAAAATGGATGAAAGACCTCAACGTAAGACAGGAAGCCATCAAAAGCCTCAAGGAGAAAGCAGGCAAAAACCTCTTTGATCTTGGCCGCAGCAACTTCTTACTCAGCACGTCTCCGGAGGCAAGGGAGACAAAAGCAAAAATGAGCTATTGGGACCTCATCAAAATAAAAGCTTTTGCACAGCCAAGGAAACAATCAGAAAAACTAAAAGGCAACCGACAGAATGGGAGAAGATATTCGCAAATGACATATCAGATAAAGGGTTAGTATCTAAAATCTATAAAGAACTATCAAACTCAACACCCATAAAGCAAATAATCCAGTGAAGAAATGGGCAAAAGACATGAATATACACTTCTCCAAAAAAGACATCCAGCTGGCTAACCGACACATGAAAAAATGCT